GAAATTCTAACAATAAAAAAAAAAACATATTCTTAACTTCTAGTTTTTTTATTTATTGAATAACTACAAACCAACAACACGTTGTTCAATTTCTTGTGGTTTTAATTTAAATATATTTTCTTGTGTACCAAAATCAGTTTGATAACATGTTTCAACTTCAAGTAAAAATCGATCAATAAATGGACAACGATAACGTGTTTTTGTATATGGATAAGCATTCCATGCTTCTTCTTCAATTTTCATTGCATTAGCTGGTAATATTGCTTTAAACCAACCAGGTAAATGACGTTCAATATGATAAATTTTAAAAGTATATTGTCCATTACCACCAGGTCCATTTGTATAAGGTTCATTTTTAATTATTTCAACACCACTACCCGAAGAATTTGTTTCTTCACGACTTTTTTTCTAAAGAAAACTTTTCGTTTTTTTGAAATATAAGCAAATAAGAAAAAAAAATGAGAGAATCTAATTAAAATATTAGTAATCAATTATTATGTTTAGAAAAAAAAAAAAATCGTGCAGCAGCAAAACTTTTTTTTTTTTAGTTCTATTTTTATTTTACCTCTGAAGTGTCTAAAAAACAATGTATTTTTAATATATCAATTTTATGTATAATATGAGGAAAAACAAAAAAAAAAAAGAAGAAAAATTTTAACACCTACCACAATCATATATAATTGAGCAATACGATATTCATCAACGGTCATCGGAACCGGAATACGATATTCTTTAATAAGCATTGTAGTCCAATAAATTAATATAATATAATGATGTATTAGTCTAGGATACAAACATTGATTGTATTGTTATTGTCGCTTGTCATTATAGATATGCTATGTGCATGCGGATCATCTGAAATCACTTGAGAAATTGTAGACGTTTCTTCCTTTTTTTTTTTTTTTTTCTTTCCTAGTTTTCCTTTTCTATTCTATTTGTCGTTTTCTCGAATCAACGGTAATGATAAATAAAAAGAAAAAACAAGAGAAAAGAAGAAAAAGACGATGATGTATGTCTGTGGACTTTTTTTTTGCTGCTTTTACCCACATGCTAAAATATAATGGTAGCAAAATCATCTTCCCGAAAGCAAGCGTTTCCTTATTTCCTATTCCTACTCCTCCTCCATCAACATCCGGAAAATAAATCAATAGCATACATATTAACATATATATAGTTTTTCTAATAATTTTTTACTATTTAAATATACAATCGATATAAGTCAAATGAATAATTATTGAAAAAAAAAATATCTAGAGAATATTTGATGATACTTAAAAACGCACGACTTCATTCATGTATTTACCTGCAATGCATTAACATTAATAGTGTTTTTTTGCATATTCTTGAGAAAAAATAAAGAAAGAAAGAAAACGTTCCCTATTTATTTCACCTCTGAATATTTTCTGTTATAGTAATCGAAAGATTTTCTATTGACTAATATATTATGATCAATGCTAAAAGGCATGAAATAATGAATAAATAATATAATAGCATGGATTATTGACAAGCTTTATTTCTATATAAAACTTCAATTTTTTCTCTTGAATAACAATAGAAATAATAAAAAGTAACAATATGAGAAACAAATAGATTCAATTAATATAATCAATAAGAAAATTTAATATTTACTTTATAATGACCTAGATGAACTTGAAGAAAATATATTTATAATTAATGTAATATGGATTTATGAATGAATATCAATTGATATGAGATGTAGAAAAACAAAAGAGACTTTATTAAATCCAATACAATATTGAATATTTATTAGAAATACAATCTGTTACATTTTAAATAATGATGTAAAAGAATGTATAACTAATATGAGTTTTTTTTTTGTTGTTTTATAAGCAAAGAAAACAGATTAATATTGACGTTATTTCTTATCGACGAGGAGTTTTTTTTTGTTTTCTCTAAGTTTCTATCTCATTTTAATATCAAAAGAAGACATATGTCCTCTAAATGAAAGCACAAAAATTCAAGTTAATTTTTTTTCTTTTTACTACGAATTGATTACTACGTTAATAATCAAATAAAATTATAAATAGACTTTGTGTTGACATGATAGATAGTTTCTTAGATAAAAACAAAATTATGTTAAGAACTGATTTAAGCAATTTATTAACTAGAAATGACGCACTTCCTTTAGTTACGCTCTATATCTATACGAAAATCCTTCATTTCCGTAAACAAATAAGACTAAAAATAAATCAATGAAATCAATACTAAAAAAGGTTAGCGTGACTGAAAAGATTATTGGATGTAAATTTTAGAACAAAAATACAAATAAGAAATCACGCGATTATATCATTTTTTATTAAGAAAAATCTAGATGATGAGTTGATCTTTTTTTTTTCATGAAATTTTTATATTTGTAAACTCAAATGTTCTATAGTTTGACTTATATTTATACTTTAAAACATCTTTTGATGATGATAAAGACAACAGTAGTATTGTTGTGATAAGTGATGTCAATGAACTGTGATATTGGTTTTTTCTTTTGTTCTTTGTCACTTACTAATTCATTTATTATTTATCATCAGTTATGAATTGTAAACAGCATGAATTTTACTTTATCATGATATTCTTATGGAGAAAATTTTTCCTATATTAGCAAGTAATAAATTTTTTACGCAATTGATTGAATGAAGAACTAACTATTGTCTGAATAGAATGACGTGTCAGGAATAATAATATTCTTTATGCTAATCCTTTTCTGTTTATTGTTAAATTTTATTAGAAAAGTAATACATGTATAATTTTTAATAGAGAAAATAATATGATGATAACAAATTATTGCAAAACTTGTGTCTTTTTTTGATAATCGAAACTAACCTTAACTTGAATCATAATATTAATATAGAAGAAAATTTGAAAAATTCAAATATAATTACAAAATAGAGAATTCGCAAAATGAAATGAAAGACTCAAAGATAATAATTATTATCGGAAGTTGTCGAAACTAATTATAAAAAAAAAAAAAAAACAAATCTGTTAATATAAGAGTAAAACCATAAAATGAACTTTTCTAGCTTTAATTATATATATGTTAAAGAAAGAAATTTTCCAGGCATTTCATATGATTTTTCAACTGAAACGATGTATTTTTGATGAGTAATAAGAAATTTGAGAATGGTTTGCTTTTTCTAACCAATAGTTGTATTCTTCCCCCTCAGGTCAAGTACCAACAAAGTTCTTCATGAGTCAAAGTAGTTATCGATAAAAATCTTCAAATCAAGAAAATAAAATTTCTATTCAAAAGTTTAAAAATTCTTCGTCAGAATCTATACTAAAGTTTTCTTATTTGATTAGAGAGATACTCACTAAGAACTTATTTGAAAAGAATTATAAGATAACTATCTCATATAATGAAAGTACTTACTAATTGAAAATAAATATTTTATTTTATTTTTATATCTGAAATATAAAAGAATTTGTTTTCCTATTGATCTAATCATTTATAATATTTACAATAAAAATTCACATCAAAAGAGTATAGAAAAAAAAATATATATATATTCTTCAAAGATCTTTTAGTTTTGAACATTGTTTTTTTTTTTTTTTTCTTTCGTCTCTTTTGCTTTACACACACACACACACATATGCATGAAAAAATTTTCAAGAAATAGAAAAGTATTTAATTCATGTTTTGAGCAAAAAGATCAATTAAAAATAATAAATAAAATCACGGCTAATGCAATGCCAAGAAATATACGTGATAACAATTCATGTTGATAACGTTCAGGTGTACCAGGTGGTGCTAAAAAAAAAGAAAATCAAAAATAATATAAATAATTTTATTATTTCAAAAATTTATACGTGGATCATAAACATGATTAGTATTATTTGATGTAAATGTTGTTTGAAATAAACCAAATGGAAAAGCACCAACACCAAATGACATTTGAAAATTAACACCTTCACCAAATCCAAAACTCTAAATAAAAATCAAATAGTTAAAATTTTAAAATCACTTTTTTTTTTTTAACTTATTTACTCGATTTTGACGAGCTTCTTGTCTTGTACCAGCTGGTCGTGGTGGTATAGTATCACTAAAATAAAATCATTTAACATATATATTTATTGAAGATATAAATTAAGAAAAAAAAAATTATATTTTAAAAACCGTGGATCAGTTTGTGGAGCATTTCGTCCATAGATTGGAATTAATTTTTCACGTGAAATACTACTTTTACATACTGGACATGTTGGATTATGTGCACGAGTTTCTAACCATTGATGAATACATGGCCAACAAAATAAATGACCACAAAGAGATAAGACAGCATTATGAGCTGTTTCAAGACAAATCTATATATTAGATTGTTTTTTGTTTTCATTGTTTATTTATTTATATAAATGAAAGATTATAAGAACTTACATTACATTCAAAACCTGATTCTTTATCATGATTTGATGATGTTTTTTTTTCATCATTACGATCAGATGATGATGATGATGAAGTATTATTATTGTCAGGTGAAGTTCTTTCTGTTGATGCCATTGAATATAAATCTTTAGAACAAAAAAAAACAAACAACAGATGCTAAATATTCATAAAAATTATTATAAAAATATGGAAAGATAACCCAACCGGTTAAGGGAAAAAAATAGATATTATTTTCTTCAGTTGAATTGATTGGTTTACTCTGTACCATTGACTATTAACAAGAACCTCCGACTCATGTCACAACCAATAGAAATAGTGAGCCAACACGTTTCTTAACTTATCAGTTGAGTATAAAGAATTCAAAAAAAAAATTATTTCGACTTTTCTTGCTTTATTTTTCAAAAATGTCATCAACTTATGCTCAATTATTGTAAAATAACATTAAATAATATTAAACTCTATTTTAAATTTGATTGCTATATTTAGAATTCGTTGTTTTCTATAAAACTATTTTTGATAATCAATAAATCAATGATTGTATTGAATGAATATGAGTGAAATATCAATTTTTTTAATGAAATTTATTTAACAAAAAAAAAACAAAAAATGTTCATTTTTCTTTCAGTTCCCTCGATGGAGGATATTCATTATCATAATTAATAGTACATCGAGGTAATTCATTTTGTAATAATTTGAGTACTACTTCTCGATGCTTTACGCTTGGCAAACGAGCCAAAATAACATGTTTTAAATTACTAAAATTAGAAACTTTTAATAATATATGATAATAAACCTATTGACATACGTTAATCCAGCTAAATAAGCAAGACCATTTTCACTTATTTGAACTAAATCAATAAGTGCTATAGATTCTAATGTATCTTTTACTTTATTACATCGAGCCATAGAACCTAATATTAATAACATTAATTAAATGAAAATATCAACAAAATAGACATACTATCATTAATTTGATTACATTTTTCTAAATGAATTTTCTTTAAATCAGTAAGTCCATCTGCAAAAAAGAAAAATCGAAAATATTATTATAAAATAATAATGAAATAATTCATTAACCTAAATATGCAAAACCTTCAGATGTAATACATGCATTTATAGCTCGAATTTCTTCTATTTTAAATTGACTAGGAGCACCAATTGGTATTGCATTATAATTTGATATAAATGTACCCCAATTTTTAAAACGTACTGAACCACTACATCGTAATAACCATTCAGCACAAGCACGATCAGGTCCTACTTCTTGTACACGTTTCCGATCATATCTAAAGAAAATCTATTAGATAAACAAATATAATATATTCAAACTAGATAAATCGATCATTATTAAGATTATTCTAACCATTCTGACTGATCGATCGAATTCTATGTACGTTTATATTGTGATTAGACATAAGCGGAATCACATTTTCTTAAAAATTTAAAAGCCTATCGAGATTTGAAAACTATCATGCAATTAATCAAATAAGTTTCGTAACTAATTAAATAATAGGTTTGTACGTTGAATATCATTTTATTCAATTAAAGGAAACATACCTTACTTGTTCCAAACAATATTTAATGAATTCCAAAAGTATCGATAAATCATCAATGATGATGATGATGATAAACTACAGGATATTAAACGTTGATTAAATATTAATGTCATCTAAAAAACAAAAAAAAAAATATTAAAGAATATTTTTCATTTTTAATATTTCTTGTATATCTTTCATTGTATTCCAAATAAATAATTCAGTTTTTAATTGATGAAAATATTGATTTTTTAATATATTATACATTGGATAAATTTTAGTATTATCTTTTTCATCATGTTTAGCAAAAACAATATCATTTTTATTTAAACGTAATGCTGCACAAACATCATTATCACCATCACCAATAAAAATTATTTTATTAAATTTATTTTTATCTCGATATTTATCAATAATTGAACCTTTACATAAATTTGGTTCACATATTTTACATGTAGTTTGTAAAGGTTTTTCATATTCATCAATTATAATGATGGGATATATTTGACGTACAGGATTACTTTCAATTTTATGAATATATTGAAATAAATTTTGAGCTTGAAGACATTCTTTTATAACAAGATCACAAGCATTACTCATTATTACAATTCGACCATTTTTCATATAGATATTACGAAAAAGATCATCTACACCAGGACTTAATTCAATTGTACGAAATGCTTCTATGATTTGTTCTGTTTGAATACCTTGTTGAGCAAGACGTTCATGTACTTCATTCATTCGTATATTCCAACAATGATGTAATTTTTCATATCGATCATTAATATCATTAAGATTTAATTTTTTTTTATCATGAACAAGTTCTTCAATAGGATCAGATGATGCACGAATTGATAATGTTTCATCAAAATCAAATATAAATAGATTTAATTCAGAACTCATTCGATATGAACGAATAATAGACGAATAAGGACGACAAATAGAAGAAAAATGTGAAAAAAAATTAAGCATAAAATCTGAAATTATATACAGTATTAAAAATGATTTTAAAGCATCAATAAGTATATATTTTCGACGTTTAATTATCGAACTACTGCCGATTAATTTCCAGTATAGGATGTATTATATCGAACTGTTAAATCAATAGATGAACTGTAATCGATATAAGTAAACAAATGTTTATTGAAAAAAATTGAAGATAGTACGAGAAATTTGAGATATACTCTAAGAATGTTATTGGTTCGTTTTTTAATTGATATACATTTGTTGATCTGAAGATATAAATTATCAGTAAGTAATTTACCGTTCGATAACTATTATGCTTCTTTAATAAATTAATAATCTCGATATGGAAGCTGCTGTCAGGAAGGTTAACATTGATACCAATATTTACAACTTTAAATACTAATGAGAGAATCTCTTCAGTAATGAAAATATAATTCATAGCAAAATGAATTAATTATTGCTGTTTTTTTTCGTTTTTATTGAGTTGAAATATCTGTTGAATTTTGAAATAATTTAAATTATTATACAGCACTTTTTTCTCGATTAGCAGAAACTATTTTCTAACATCTCAATAGTTATAATGATATGACAGCAATTAATATTTTGATAGAAATGAAAAAAATAGAAAACATCTTTTGAATATTCCTTTTTTTTTTTTAATAATAATTATCTTAAAACATAACACGAAAGACAATTTAAACGAATTAATTCGTCACAGTTTCAGCTGTTGTCGTTGTTATATCTTCTAATTTTTGAGTTTCTTCATTTTCTTTATATGGTTTCACTAATGGAAAGAGTAAGACTTCCTGAAAACGAAATATTCAAATTCATTTTTTATTATTAAATAATTACAAAAGTCTTCTTCTTACTTTGATACTATAACTATCAGTGAGTATCATTGTTAGACGATCAACACCTAAACCCCAACCACCTGTTGGTGGAAGACCATATTCAAGTGCTGTACAGTAATTTTCATCAATTAATTGAGCTTCATCATCTCCTGCAGCTTTATCCTATTTTTAATTTATAAACTATTAAAAAAAAAAAAAAGGTATATTAACATTTTTGTTTACTTTAGCTTGTAATTCAAACATTTCTCGTTGTACAATAGGATCATTTAATTCTGTATAAGCATTACATGTTTCTTTATAACAAACAAATAATTCAAATCGTTCAGTAAGACCTGGTTGTGAACGATGACTAGAAAATGTATAATTAAAGAAAAAACATAAATAAAATTTATTTTGTAATAATTTACTATTTAGCTAAAGGACCCATCAATTGTGGATGATTGCAGATAAATGTTGGATTGAGACATTGAGGTTCAAGAAAATGACCCGACAACTATATTTAAAAATTTTTAAGAATTTCACTGAACTTATTGATCTATCTTGAATCAGAAGACTACTGATGTAATTATGTTGAGTAATTTACTGTGTATCGAATAGTATATAAGAAATCTATGTGGTATTCTGGCAATCAAAAAGATTTTTTTTTCGTTTATAAACAAGTTATTTATATTAGTTCATCAAGTATCTTGTGCTGTTTATTCATGCATAAAAATTCGAAAAGATAAAAGATCGGTAGTATGCAATTTTTGAAAAAATTTTCACTTGGGTGCTCACTTATTTCATGTCAAAAATCAACATCTAGATTCTCAGCATAAGAAATTTTTAATTTCTTATTTACCATTCGATACATCATAAATCGCACTACAAAAACACATAAGTGATATCCTAGTTCAAGATAAATTACCAAAGCTGGTAAAGTTCTTGATGAGGTTTTTTTTTGCTTCATTTTCTCATTACTTTATCAATAAGTCGAGCTGTTGTTCGTGGATTTTTACATTCAATATCATGTTTCTTACAGAGATTATCAAAGAATTTGTTTGCTGCTGGTGTTGAAAGTTCTGACGATGATGGAAATTTTTCACCAATCATTTTTTCAAGATTTTCCATTAAATTTAAACGTTTAAATGGTGGTGTAAAATCAATTTCAACTGGTGCTTGATCAGGTCCATTCAAATGATATATGATTTTATATGTTCCAAATAAATATTTAACAAGATCAGATATTAATTTTTCAGTTATATTCATTAAATCATTATAATCAGCATATGCCATATAAAATTCACACATAGTAAATTCAGGATTATGTGCCATATCAATACCTTCATTACGAAAGACACGACCAATTTCATAAACACGATTAAAACCACCAACAACTAACATCTAGCAAAATTTTCAGTAAGTAAAAAAAAAAATGTTTTTCAAGAAACAAAAAAAATTTCATATTTACTTTAAGATAAAGTTCAGGTGCAATACGCATAAATAATTTCATATCAAGTTCATTATGATATGTTATAAATGGTTTAGCAGATGCACCACCCGCAATTATATTCATCATAGGTGTTTCAACCTAATTTAAAAAAAAAAACAAAAGACGAATGTTGCATAGATATATATAAACAAGAATTTTTTACTTCAAGAAAATCAAGTGAATTAAGAAATTGTCGAATATAATTAATGATTTTTGCTTTAACAATAAATTTTTGTCGAACAGAATCATTGATCATTAAATCAAGATATCGTTGACGAAAACGTGTTTCCTTAATAAATCAAAACATTAACATAAGAATTAAAATACATTACTAAAACATTTCAATAAATGAGATTGAATGACTTATCAAAGAAAAATCTATCAGTGAAGAGATCAAATGTAGAGCTCACATATGTTCTTAAGTCTCTCAGAATAAAAAAATGCACGGCCTTCCACTATGGAAATTCACATTGCTCTTACAAAGATAGTCTGTATATATCTCGATAAGTTCAGAAATACTGATATGGACTATTTTCCAAACTTATAACTATACATTTTTACTTGTATAAAACTCAAAAAACGTATTCTAGTCATTTAAATTTCAAGAAAGACTTTAAAATATTCTAAAATAGTCTATTACTGATGAGTGAGATTATCTTGTCCATATATAGTTCAGTTTCGTAGCGTGCTGCTATTTAAACATATCGGATTACCAATGAGCTTCCTCTGATGTGAGTTCCACAAAAAAAAATTATAATGAAATTTAATTAAGAATGTCTTGAAAAAACTATTGTTAAAAATATGTAATACCTTATCTTTGAGACCGAAATGTAAACTAGGTAATTGATGAAGTGTTGGTGTTAGAATAACTAATTCATTTGGTATAAGACTTAATTCACCTTTTTTTGTTCGTGCTAAAAATTAATGAAATTTATTATGAAATATAAAAGAAAATTAAATTAGATATATGTACTTGGTTTGCCTTTAACACCAATAATATCACCACGATGAATACGATCATTTATAATTGTAAATTCTTTTTCATTATGATAAAATCTATAAATGAAATTTAAATAAAGAATATTAACTTAAATAATTTTTACTTGACATTAGCCATAATTTGAATTTTAACTGAATTACTATGAAGATCATAGAAATAAAGTTTTGTTCCGAATGAACGTTTTGAATAGACACGTCCTGAGTAAAATATAAAAATATTATATTTATTTGATAATTAAAATTAAAATTAAAATTTACCAGCAATAGATACAATATCATTATTAATTTCTTCATTTTTTAAATGTGAATATTTATCAATAAAATCTTGTGATGTTATTGAAACATGATATTTATGTGGATAGACTGTTTCACCAATTTTTTTAAGTTGTTGTATATGATGTAATCGCATCTTATAATATTCCTAATTATAATGAAATAAGAAGAAATTATTTTTCTTTTTATTTTATTTTACGAAAAAAAGTATACTTACATTTGGATCAATTTCTTGATCATCGTCATCTTTTTTTGTTGATGATTGAGTTAGCTGTACAGTAGTTGCTTTTTTACCAGTCTTCTGTTCAACTTTTAATTGCCGTTTAAGTTCACTAAAATACATAGAATTATTCGAATTTATAATTTTTCTAGATCTGAGTTTTCTGTATCTTAGATTCAGAAATAAATCATCGTTTATTTCTTATTAGAGAAAATCTCTATCATACGTAGAATTGATTTGATTCTGAAATGAAATACAAACTGGTCCTATTTGTACAGTTTATCAGGAATAATGCAAAAGTTCTGCATTGATTTTGTTCTTAGTCTTAGAAAGTTTGTAGTTTTCTCGTTAGAAATAGAATTACGAATTTTCTAACGCGATGTAGGCTTTCAATTGATAACAAAATCATCGATTCCATTAGAAATCGTTTTACTAGAAATTTGATTGTTCTCATCTACAATGTTAATTTCGAACTAAATCAATAACTTGAAAATTGTATTCTAACATGTTTATCATGCTTTATTGTAATGTTACAAAAATCTAATAAAAGATCAACTTTCTTTAAATAAATGAAGCAAAGATGAAATTGATTTGCAATCCATATCGATATTGAACTAACAAATTATCGTACTATTCCATCTACAAATAATGATATTTGACATAGTCAACTTTCAACAAAGTTTTAATTGAAGATTTTTTGCGAGATACTCAGAAACAAAAAATATTAATAAGACACACCGGTACCAATTCTATCTATAGAGAATTATTGTCACGTTATACTAATACATTATAATTTAATAACAGTGGACAAACATATAAGAATCTATCATCCTCTTTATGAACGCAGCTACTACGTTATTCGAGACGTATCCAGTGTTTTATCTAGGTTTTGTTTCCCGAGTGGGCAAGTCGAAATTTCGGGTGGGCGGCGTTCACCCAGTAGATAAATCACTGGACGTATCTATAAGAAAGTACCATCAGTCATGAAATGATCTTGGATCAAGCTTGAAAATCTCTTTTTTCTTTTTGCATAAATTAGAACATAAAATTTCTTTTAACTCAATTTAAATGCGTACCATTTAAACGGCATATTAAATACATTTTGAAAACGTCCTGCACTGAATATATTTCTTGTTAAACGACCTAGCATGATGTTTTCTTTTCTTTTTTTCTAATAAACAAAAAACATCTAGAAAACAAAAAAATGACATACTTTTTACTAATTTTTCTTGTGTTGAACCTTGTTTATCACTAGCAGCTGTAGATGACACTTGAAAAGTAACAAATAATCTCATATACAAAAATCGATTTTTCTTTTTTTTTTTGTTTTTGTATTCAAAATCTTGTTATTTATTTATTTTTTCGATACAAGAAATAATGAAATGTATCTACAACAAAATAATAGTATCATGGTAGACAACAACAACAAAAAAAAAAAAAAAAACTTAACACTATTTTTTTTTTAATCATAAGACAAAGAAATTAAGAGTCAATGAATTTTACTATTGCACATGTCGAATAACAAGAAAAAATATATATCGATATGTTAAATTCATTTTATTTATTTTTTTTCTGATAAACTTTCTTCTGACGATGATGACATTGCTGGATGTTGTTGACGTTTATTTTCAACTGATATTGAACGAGAAGAAATTTCATTTTTATTTGTTATTGGTACACGTATTGATCGACGTGTTATTCTAGATTCATTTATTGGATCAGTAGAATCTGATGAATCTGTTGCAGATATTTCCATACGTTCAATATTATTTCCATTTTGTGTTTGATTCGTATTAAATAAATCAGGATTAAAAACAGGTTTATGTTTACGAGCACCATTAAAATAATTACAATATGCACAACGAAATGCTAAACAAAAAAAAATAACAACAATATAAAATTTTCAATTAAATTATTTGAATTATATTTTACATAAATATTCGAATTCTTCTTCTAATGCCATGCCTATGAAAAAACGAAAAATTCAGTTGTTTATTTTATTTTTTTTTCTTTATAAAACTTTAATAACTAACCATTATGACTATTGCACGATTTACAGATCAACGCATAACTAAATTAAAATGATTTTGTTTTCAACAAAAATCAAAATTAAAAAAAAAAAAACAAAAATCTTACCGTTTCGATGGACCATCTCCTACTATTGTATCAAGAATTGCACCCCAAACTGTACGTTGAGGTGGTAGAATTGCTCGGGGTAATTTACCAGGTGTAACACCAGCTAAATAAAAAAAACAAAGACTTAGATTGAAAATTCTCATAGAACGATCATCTACCAGCTAAACGACTTGGTCCTTCACGCACTGGTGTTTGTACTAATTGATTACCATTTTCAAATGAACTGGGACTAGGTGAAATAACTTAAAAACAAAAATATGTTAATTGATAAGTGAAGTTTCTTCATATGAGGAAAACACAATTTATACCAGGAATAGGTGGTTTTTCGGCATTGGGTATTGTTGGTTTTATTGATGCACGTGGATGTGGATCTGAAATTAACAAAAGTAGATCTCGGAAATATTGATTGAGTGCAATAGTGAGCTGATCTGATGAATTATATACATAATTCAATTTGATAATGTTGCTTAGGAATTGAAACAAGAGGAAAGTGTGATATTATACAGATGATTATAACTGGTATTGATTTCACTGCCGCTAAATTGATACGTGTAACTGTATATAAAAGCAAACAGATTGAATTCAGACTTGTCAATTCCATTTTCAATCCATGTCATCAAAACGACTCGTTTTCTTTTCTATTAACCTCAAATCTTGTCTTGAAGAGATCAATTGTTACTATAAAAATGTTCGATTTTCACTGAAATTTCATGTTTTTCCAAGAGTTTAAAAACATTTCTCTTTCCACACCAATAAAGAAGTTCACGTTACAGCACTTTCATTTTGTAGAAAGTTCATGATATTCTATTATTATTCAATGTTCCATTGACTACTCTCTTGAAGTATATAATAGCTGATTTTTCCATTTTAAACTTCTATGTTTTCTTTTTCAATATAATCACACTATATCTTTAAAATACGTAGTGAAGCAACTGTTATGTATTATTGACGAAGATTGAATAACTCAAAATTTTAATTTATTATATACCTTTATTATTACCATTCATTATTGGTGATCGAACTTCTGGTGTTAATTTTTCACCATATTTTTCCAAAAGATTTTTTGCTACAGCATATGTTTCTTTATTCTTTACTTCTTCAATCTATAAAAATAAGAATATGATAAATATAAGAAATATGTTCATATATTTCTTACTAATTCTTGTTTTCGTTCTTTAAATAATCCTAATTTTTCTTCTGCAAAAAAAAAATAATAAAATACTTTTTTTTGTTCTATCATATTGTACATTTTGATTTACCTCTCGTTTGAATAATCATTCGAAAATACCAACGAATAATCCAATGAATACTATATAATCTTTCAAAAAAAAAAAAAGAAATAATTCAAAACTCATTATTGAATCATCCTATAAAAACAATCTACATACAAAATTCCAAATGCTATAGATATTGCACATGCATAAATTTGAATAACAAAATCTTGTGAAAGAAAAAGTGTATAATACGAAATATTCACAATCAAATAAGCAAGAATTGCATAAATTGCAAACCATTTTGTCCATTGTCGTTGACGTAAACGTGTTTGAAGTAAAGTTTGTTGTAAATGACTTAATTCCTATTTAAGTTATAGATTTTAAATATAAAGATATTATATATACAGTGGCGTAGCCAGAAATTTTTGAGTCATAGGCAATTCATCAGCCGAACTATTTTGAGTTACGGGCAGCTAAGGGCAACCGTTATGATTTCAAAACTATATATGGGCAATAATTGTTCAAGCACTGTATAGCTCAATAAATCCATGGGCAATAACTTTTGGAGCTATGGGCAATTGTCCAATGGCCATACCCCTGGCTACGCCACTGATATTATATATATGAAAAAATAAAATGCTTACACTATGAAGATCTTCAAGTTCTTCACTAAGTGTTGTACGAAATTTCTATAACAATTTAATATTATTTTTAATAAATTTTTAACAATATATATAGGGTTGTGCATAACCTTTTGCTACGGGGGTAGCGCCATTATTTCAAGTTGAATACCTAATGAAATTTATACCAAATTGAAGAGCGTCGAAAAATGGATTTATTAGTACTAAATAGTAAGGTTTATCAAAATATGTTAATGTCGAACTTACGAAATTTTCGGAAATTTTATGCTTTTTTTACCATAGAAAATGAAGGCACCATCAATTCAAATATAGAGTAAGATATTTTCATTTGATATTTTTATATGCTTCGATAGAGCTCGTCGAGCTCTACAAAACTGTATATATCAAAAATTTTTTAAGCCATTTTTTTCAGAAAAAAAATTTAAAAAATTACTTGTAAAATCCTAAAAAATCTCTAGAAACTCGTTTTTTTATATGGAAGAAAAACACTTGATTTTTTCAATGAAATTAGCTTTTTTCATTATTTTTATTGATAAAGACACTTCGAAATATACTCCTCCGGTGCAGCGTGAAAAATTGCGTCTGACGAGTATATCTCGAAGCGTCTTTGCTAGTAAAAATAATGAAAAAACCTAATTTTATTGAAAAAATCGAGTATTTTTCTTACCTATAAAAGATTGCCAGTACCTTAATTTTTTATGCTAAAAAAGCATAAAATTTCCGAAAATTTCGTAAGTTCGACATTAACATATTTTGATAACCCTTACTATTTAGTACTAATAAATCCATTTTTCGACGCTCTTTAATTTGGTATAAATTTCATTAGGTATTCAACTTGAAATAATGGCGCTACCCCTGTAGCAAAAGGTTATGCACAACCCTGTATATTATTACATACAAAAATTCGAAATTTAAATAATCGACTGAAAAATGACATATTCGACGATTAAATTTTATACAATAGAAGAAAAAAAAAATTTAATCTAAAAAGAAAAATATTAATATAACCAATGATAAAAATCAGATAAAATAATTTTCGTGCTTGCCTATCATCTAGATAATAACACTATCAACGAATAGAAGCTACACAAGGGTCTCAAGATTTTATAAGAGAATCTCTTATGGAACTAGTAAAAAATTTCAAAAAAAGAAAAACTAATCATGAATAATTTTCAATTATTCGAAAGATCTAATATTTGTTCATAAGGTTTTTCTTCACTTTTATCATAGCGCCCTCATTCACACACACTTGGTTGTACGTATGTAAATCACTCCAATTAGTACGTAGATATGTACTGTTCGTTTAATTCGTTTAATAAAAAAACTACAGCTGTCGTTAGTAATAACGGGTATACGCAGGATGTAAACGAGTACAAAATAAGCGTGTGCTTCAATATGTGTTTATTGTTGTCTTTTTCTTTTCTTCAATGTGATTCATTGTGTGATTGCTGTTAACCAATCGCTTTATTGATTGTTTTATTTCCTTCGAGAGAGTTTTTTTTTTTCGTCTGTATAATACCTCCATTTTGGTATTTCGAAGATCTATTTTACTATCTAAATTTTCGATATTAATGATGAATGATTTTAACAGGTAATAATATAAGATTTTATTTTAAAATATAATTCATAATTTAAAATTTATTTTAAGACGTGTTAACAGTATTATTGTGAAAAATTTACCATTAGATTTTAATGAAGTAAGATTTGTTTTTTAAATAGAAATATATATATATATATGAATCTTATATTTAACTTTTTTTGTTTTTGTTTTCTTTGATAGAATCAATTGGAAGAACTTTTTTCACCATTTGGACAAATTATTTCAAGTAAAGTTTTACCAAATAATCCAAGTTTTGAAGGAGGTTGTGGGTAAGTTTTATATAAATATAGATATTATTTATTCAGAAAAAAAAAATAATTTTAGTTTTGTTAATTATGCTGATGCAGAAAGTTGTAATCAAGCTGTTGATCATATGAATAGTTTTGTTGTTCAAGGATTTACTTTACGTGTTAGTCAATCAATGGTAAATTAAAATTTTCAATAGAACTAAATTGATTAATTTTCTTTATTATTTAGTCAAGATCTGGTACTAGTAACTTTAATCGAACACAAAATGGATTGTACGTAAAAAAAAGAATTTTATTAATATCTCACAAAGGAAACATATACATACTATTGAAAAGTCGTTGAACTTGCAGAAAAAATATTTATCAAAACAATCAAATTTCGGGTTTAGGATAGTTGCGCGCGGACACTTGCTCGCTATAACAGTTACATAGGGTCCTATAGCGAGCAAGTGTCCGGGTCCCTCAAATTTCACACATATCTAATCTAAATTCATTATCTATCAGTGATTTATCTACTGGGTGGGCTGAGTGAGTATCGCCCACCCGAAATTTTGATTCGCCCACTCGGGAAACGAAACCTAGATAAAACACTGTTATCTATGAATGCTATAAATACTTCTGAAAGTTTCAACGAAAATAATCTTGTCTTTTGAGAGCTATTCATTAAGTCTCTAGAAAGATTTATTCATTCTTTATGAAACTTTTAGAACTTTATTTTTAATATAATTACAAATTTGTGTAAAAAAAAAAATCTCTTTAATATTGAGTTAATTATTTTTTTTTGAAGTATTCAAGATAATCTTGAATTCTATTTTCTTGTGTAAAGTTTAATATTTACTTTATAATTTTGAATTTAATAGTCGTGCTAATAGTGAAACAAATGGTCGTACAACATCGACAACAAATGTCAATCCAGATGAAAATAGTCATACATCACCACCTAGTACTCAATCACGATTTAGTAGCTTTCGACCAGTTATTGAACGATCATCGAGTACAACTCAAACAAAACCAATGTCAATAAATAGTAGACATTCAAGTGCTAATGAATTAGATGCAGATTCAAATACGAATAAATCATTATGGAATACTCATATTGAACATCAACAAAGAATAGCCAATGTTAATAGTCCATTTCAAAGTGGTGACATAATTATTTTAATCTAATATTAAGAATATTAAATTTTCTTTATTAGGTAAATCAATGAATATTGAAGAACATGAACCATTTGTAAAAAATCAAATTTATAATATTTATTTATCAAATCTTGAAGTACCTAATATAGTATTTGCAGCAACATTAGATGATTATGTTAATGCTACATTACTTATTACACAAATGAATAAACATGAACAACTTACAAAAATACAAGCTAATTCTTATAATGCAAAGTAAAAAAATTTTTTAATACAAAAAAAAAAATTCCTGTTTTTTATTTCTTTTAAATTAGATTAGCTATCGGACAAGTTTGTGCTGCACTTTTTAATAGTGATTGGTATCGAGCTCGTATTTTAGAAATTAGTGATAGTCGTGTACGAGTTCAATATATTGATTGGTAAATCAATAAAACTTTTTTTTTGTTTTGTTTTCATATATTTATATTTTCAATATAGGGGAAATACTGGATGGTGTGATTCAATTCTTGAAATTCGTCCATTACCAAATGAGTAAGTAAGAAAGATTAGTTAATCATAGGTTGCGTTCAATTCTATTTAAAAGAAGAAATATATATTGTCAACTAAAACTTGTAATACTTTCGTTAGCAATCGTGAATACTTTTTCCTTCATCCCTATTTCTGATAGTTTTATGATATTTTATCACTTGTTCACATATATCTTTACATAAATATAAGGAACAGAATGAACGTATATTAAACTTTATTGCTTCATTTATGGTATTCTATCCAAAGGTTGTAGACTTCATATTCGAAAAGGTATACTCTCTCAGTATTTTATGGAAACGCATTCTCTCTAATGGTGCATGTATTATCAAGTTTCATTGGATACTATTATGATATCAAAAGAGAGTACAACCATGAAGGTGACACCTTCTTTATCAAAACTTTTTGTTGCAATAATAAATTAATTAATCTATTGTTTTTTTTTGTAATTTAGATACTACAAAGATCCAGCTTTATGTGTTAAATGTATTTTAGATGGTGTTTCATCTAATGAGAAACTCACAAATGAACAAACAAATGCTATTCTTGGTGTACTCGGTAAAGTGTTAAATACATTATAGGATTAATAATATTGCTTATTTATACTTTTGATTTTAGTTCTTGATCTTAAACTTGAAATGACTGTATTACGTATTGAAAATGGTATACCATATATACGATTAAATTTAGGTGAAAGAAATTTAAATAATGAAATATGTAATATTCTTCAATCATCATCTATAATAAAACAAAATCAAATTATGAATTTTGCTTCTAATAAACCTGAAATAAATCTATCTGAAATTTATTATGTTCAATTAACAACTGTTGATACAGAACCTGAATGTTTTCATGTTTTACTTATGCGTGATTGTCTTTCAATCATAATGAATGTATTAAAAGATTGGCATGCTAGTAGAAAACCATTAACTGTCGAACCAAAATCAAATATGCTTGTTTGTGCACAATATGATGCTGATGATCTTTGGTATCGAGGTTGGATTCAAAATGTTACTGGTATAAAAAAAACGTCTTTTTTGTTTTTTAATTTTTAATAATTTGCCTATAAAAAAAAATGTTTTTTTTTTTAATAGAAGGTGGTTATCGTGTATATTTTGTCGATTTTGGTAATGAAGAAATCGTTTCTATTGATCGTCTTAGTGAATGTCCAGATATTTTAAAAAATATTCCATGGCAAAGTGTACAAATTAAATTAGCAAATATTACATTAACAGATGATGAACGTTATATACTTTTAAAAGATTTTGAAACTGATCGACTTGAAATGAAAATTATTCAAAAACATCAAGATATTTATCATGTTGATTTAGTTGCAAATGAAAAATCACTTGTAGAACATATATTAGAATTACGAAAAAAACAACAATCAAAAATTAATGAGGTTTGTCTAGTTACAATTTAAATATGACTTAAAATTTTCTATTAAAAGGTATCGAAAATACTTACGGAACCAATTCAACAAATTTTAACAACAGTATCAACATCAATACCAATGATGACAACGGAAAATATTTCACGAATATCCAATGAATGTGAGTAATTCTATAACAGAAATTTGAATATGTTTGAACATAGAATTTTCTTAAATCACTAAAGAATTAGAAATAATCTGTTTTTTGGAATAAACAATTCAATAATTAATCAAACTCTATTGAATATTATTCCAGTCACAAAAAATGTCACTTTCATTTTTTTGACCAAATGTTCACGTTGTTGTCCATTATGCATTGAAACGGGCACGGATCTGAGTTTGAAAATGTCGAATTTGACCTACTCTAGGAAAGCCATAAAGCTTAGATAGACTCAAACACTTTTTTCCTTTGATCATAATAATAAATTTAAGTAGTGCATTAGAATTCTTATTCAAACGTTAATATTTTTCGCCGACTAATAATTACATTTTCTAAATTGAATAGACTTACGAAATGTTTATTAGGAAAACATTGAATTTTGTATAAGTAAATATTAGATTATACATTGATAATAACTTGAAGTGATAAAGAAAATCTGAGTCCGATTAACTAGACTCTATTACGATTTTCTTTCATCTTTGCCGACTAAAATTGCATGTCTATTAAATATTTTCAACAGTGCACAAACTCACAAATGTTTTCTCGAGTAAAACAGATCAAAAAAGACTTCATCTATTCCATAGCAAAATAGTCACTAAAACTCCATGAATACGTAACATAGATCAATCTGTCATGTAAATTTTCATTTTTTATTGTGATTTAGATTCACAACCAATTCCGTTACCTGTTCAACCAATTGTTGATGTACCAGCACAACCTATCATATTAAACAATAGTAAAATGTTGCAATCAACAACAACAACAACAAATGCTACTACTACGACGGTTAATGCTGCTAAAATGCCTGTATCGAACATTTTGAGCACGGTAACAAAACAAGAGCCTACTATCGAACAAAAGAATGATAGTTCGATTAATGATAATTTAATAACATTAATTACTGAACAACGTCGACAAAATCGTTTACTTGAACAAGTTATTGCAGCAATTAATACAACTAATGCACTTCTTACACAACTTGTTCAACGTTAAGAAAAGAAAAAAAACGTCTATTTGCATGTTCATATATAAGTAAGATCAGATAGCCAGTCTAGTTTATCTTTTTTTTTTTTTTTTTGTGCTATGTGAAGTTTAGTGATGCGTTTTATAATCACTTATTTCTAATAAACTGACTGCATTTTCTTTTGGTTTCATTTTTGTGATATTTGTCTCCTGGTTGTTTTCTTTTTGTTTTTATAGTTCATCTTTGGTGTTATTTCATCCATTAGATATCGTTATATATATATCTAGAGATTCATTATTTTGTTTTTTTTTTTGTATTTTTCTCATTTTGTTATTGTGTGCTTGTTTTTGCAGTTCTTATACGTCCAGTTTGAAAGTAAGACAAACCGTTGGATTGTAATAGTTATCCATACAAAAATCAGACCATCCTTTTTTTGTTGGAATAAAACATAAGTACAAAAGAACTAGAATGTAAATATTATTATTATTAGACATTTACGTAGTGTCATTGACAACTATGATTGTTATTCTTTAGAAACATTGCAGAAAATATAGAAAACTTAATATTAAAAACTTCGTAGATATTATGTATAGGAAATTACTTACGCAACGTACTAATAAAAAACTATGAGATTATTAAAGAGAGGATTTCTTTTAGATTTGTAAAATTGCTTTTTTTTTACCAATGAGATATACACATCTTGATAATGTGCTATGTGATAAATATCGAGAAAATTTGATACTATTAAAGAAAATATTTTTAAAAATTTTCAAACGAACTAGATGAATAAAAGATTGTACAATATAAAATAGAAACTGGAGTTGCCATTGTGGAGGAGAAATATTTCATCTACACTCTTAACTTCAAAACAGGGTTAAGACATTTGTTTTTCTTTTAGATTTTACACTCAATCAAACTTTTACATGGTTTAAAAAACATGAGTGACGACAATAAAGAGATTGTTGTTATTGGTCATCATAATCCAGATACAGATGCAATTACAGCAGCATTAGTTTATGCTGACTTTCTTCGTCGAATGAATCTTAATGCTAAAGCTTATCGTCTTGGTGATCTCAATAATGAAACTAAATTTGTATTGAAAACAGTCGGTATTGAAGAACCTGAAATGTTACCAGATAATATGCCCGAAGGTACACAAGTGGCATTGGTCGATCATAATGAAAGTAAAAAAGAAATATATGAGAATATCATTGATTTATTAGTTCATTGTTTTTTTGATGTTAGGTCAACAATCAATGAAAAATTTGAAAAAAATGAATGTTACTCATGTTGTTGATCATCATAAATTAGGCGATCTAACAACTTCTGAACCTGTCTATTTGCGCTTTGAACCTGTTGGATGTACTGGTACAATTTTAACAAAACTATTTCATGAACACAATTTAGATATTGATCAAACAACAGCTTTTCTACTCATAAGTGGTATTCTCAGTGATACACTCCACTTTCGGTAATTTCTTTTTCGTTTGTTAAGAAATTTTCAATTCAATTATTTCAATCACTTAACTGTAAAATCTATAATAGTATTTTTTTTTCTTTCTTCGATAGATCACCAACAACTACTGATGATGATAGAAAAATTGTCGAATATTTATATCCACTTACGAAAATTGACAATCTGGAATCCTATGTTAAGAAATTGTTTGAAGCCAAAAGTGATTTAACTGGATTTTCGACAAAGAAAATTCTTCTTCTTGATTATAAAACATTTCATTTTAATGATGAGCATTGGGGAGTAGGTACTGGGGAAACATGTAATGTGGATACAATGTTAGAACGAAAGGATGAGTTTCTTCATGAAATGAATGAAGAAAAGAAGAGGAGCAATTTAGCGGGTATTTTATTTTCAATTGTTGATATTCTTAAACAAAAGAATTTGACATTAATACCTGGCGAACATGAAGAACAAGTAGTTCGAGCAGCATTCAAAGTCGACGTTAATGATTGTATAGCTGACTTGGGTTCAAGAATAAGTCGAAAGAAAGAAATTATTCCAGTACTTGAAGCATATTTTAATTCAAATTCGTAAATTAATGAACGGTTGTTTGCAATAATCAAGCAATAATTTTTTCTATACTTTCTATTAATAAAGCGAATATAATTTTTCTTTGTTTGCTTTCTATATCCAAGCTGGTAATTATCTTTTTTACTTGCTTACTTCAGCAAATTACTGTAGTTATCAAATAATCAAGATTACTAAATTTAATAAAGCTGAATAAAATGGACAAGTTTGTTAGTGATTACATTGTGTCTCAACTCAGGTCGAACGTAATCCGACGAAACTCAATGATATTCACCTGTCTAGTTCTGCTTTTTGTGATTACATTCATGTTTCTGACCGACTGCTTACAGTGATAAAAGAAACTATTCAAATGAACGAACAGTAAGTATAAGTTATCTATTTTATTTTATTTTTCAATTTGGACTACGTTATGTCATGAAGTCAATCAAAAGTGAGCATAAATTATTGATTCTATATTTTTTTCTTTATTGTAAATTTATTATTGAACAATTGAATGTAATAATAAATAAAATAAAGTACATTTAAACTTTTAATTTTCATTTAGGTATACTAGAGGAAGGCATTAGGGAAGGTTAATCACAAGCGGCTATAATGCTTTTATTTTATCATGAATGAAAAGATTGAGATCCTTTGCATGAAAACTCTCGCTTGTATGTTTATTAGTCTTTATACACAATTAAATGACTTTTGTCAACTTTACGGCTATTGTATCTATAGAAGGAGAACCAGAACATTTTCCTACTTATCTTTAAAGTCATAACAGATGACGATAAGAATCGAAGGTTTTTTATAAAAATACATCGATGAACGTAATTAATTCTCATCAGCAGAAACTTTGAGTAGGTCTATTGTGACAGAATATGAATTATACTAACATAGTGCTATCTTTAGGTAGTAGTAGTATTACCAGTTACCGTGACAAACAGATGTTATATTTAATTGGTAAAACGATAATCAATCGAGGGAATACATATTACAGCAATGTTGAAAGAATAGTTTAACAGGTATTCCGTCATTTAAGGTTAGAAAAAATAATGTTCATAGAAATTTTATAATATTCAGTCAAATTTTTATTCAAGTTTCTTCGTACAAAAATAATACAAAAACAACAACAACATGTACACAAAATATTCTTCAACCGAATGTGAAATTTAATCGCCACATTGTTCTAAGCCATCGATCGATTGGTTCCGATGTTCTGAACTTTGACCAGATGCATAATTGTCTACCTGTCTCATAGCTTCTGATCGCATCATAGGGCCACAAATCATAAAGAGAACACCGAAAAAACACAGAGTAGAGAGAATAAAAATTAATGTGATACTCGAAGCTTGAATAGATGATGTTAATGATGATGAATGAGTGAATACGATAGACATATTATCATTTGTCGAATCATTTACAGTAACATTAATATAATTCAATAAGGTATACATATGATTTCATATTGACGATGGATTTATTGAATAATCAATATAGAAACAAAAAATGACTAAGAATAGCGATCGGTGCCATTTGAGTATGTAACCAGGAAAAATAATACTATTCCAGAAAAAAAAAGTAAATGAATTAGGCTATTTATGTTTCTTTCATGTTATTATCGTCGTTTTAAATATATAAATTTGTGTACGTACCGATTGTTCGTCAATTTTCTTTATATACCTTTTTGTTTCTACCAATCAAGTGCTAGTCTCGTGACAAATTCTCCACAGCAATTATTCGTTTAATGTAGCAAGCATTGCTTTCTGTTCTAATATTATTCATAAATAACTCATGGCAACGATTAGCAAAAGTTTTGCTCAAGATTATGATTTTCCATCAACTAAAATTTCAGAAAATTTCGCTATAAATGCAGAAACACATCGTCTGCTTTTTCATAGAATTAGAATCAATTGGTTATTTTAAGTTGTCATAAACAAAATGAATTAATAAAAGTAAACACTGCGTTTTGTTTCACAATAAAAACAACCTCAACAGCTATTAAAGGAGAAATAGAACAATGAAAAGACTTCAAGAATATAAACTGTAAAATAAATTGTTTTTTTCCAAAGCTTCATAAGTATATGAACTTTTTCGAGTACGAAGTGAAATATCAATTCTAAGATTGAGCCATAGTCAAAATCATGAACCAAAATGTTGTTGTTATTATTTCTGTTATTATCATCAAGTTTCACGCAATCAAGCAAATCTTTTTTGAAGCTAATGATTCACGATGTGGACGCATTATATATAGAGAAATATAACGTTTTTTCTTCAGAAAAAGTGGACTATGCTCAACACTCTTTTCCGATAAAGAATCATGTAACTCTAACAAAAATTTTCAGTGTATCATCACAGAAGGTAGCATATCTTCTCTTCACCGACACGCACATTCACATCTTAAGTGAACCGTAAATATTACAACAATGAATTTATTTTATTCAGTAAGAATGAATCATATATACGAAAGGAAACAAGAACTATATAATATACAGATGCAGATCGGTTTTTCAATTACAACTCTTATTACTAATGCACAAGAATAATAGAACCAGAGTACGCATGTTATTATATCATGATATATCGCCTATCTATCTATCTATTTTAATATATATATTTATAAAACAAAAATAAGACATTAGCTGTTTGGTTCATCATTGGAAAACATAAACTACAATTATATCAAGCATAATTTTGATATAATGCATGCTTATCTAGGATTTCAAGTACTGAACCATTGAGTACGAGTACCGATTCTTGAATAAATGACGAACTTAGCCGAAGAATTAATGTACATGGTGAAAAAAAACTTATAAGAAATTTATAAGATAAGAGAAGAGACTTAAATGAAAACGGTGTCAACTTCAATATTAGCAAAATTAGATTTTCATAATATTTATATACATGAAAATCTTGATAATTTACAACATCGTTGTTCAACTATCCTGAATTCTATATATTTAACTATTGTTGAAATAAATATGCATTTATGGATACATTAATCAA